CTCGCGGAAAGTATTGGCGGAACCGGTGATAGGATCACGCAGAGCGGCCGCTACCAGACGCACGAAACAGCACGTGACGGTCTCGTGGTAGCCGCGGGAGACGCGGGTCTTGTTGACCACGTTGTAGCGCTGGATGCCTTGCCTGAGGGACAAGATGTGAGATGGGTGGTTAGTATCGGTAGGGTATCGGTAGGCTTTTACATAGAAAAGGTGATTTGGAGATGATAATGCAGACAAATGCATTCTGAACCCAAGAAGATGAGTATCAGAATATTGCCTACACCATGCTTGAGTTTATAAACAAGAATCGATTTAATTTTTTCCTACCGTTACTTTGCTTTCCTTCTTCCCTCTAGAGGCCATCATAACAAAATTTGTTTTTACTTAACGAAATATCCAACACCTTCCAAAAAACTTTAAAAGGCAATCACAATCACAGTCATCCTTGAGGATTACTCTTTCCCATGCCCTGATCTAGCTGCCTTACTTGATGAGTTTCTCAGCCTCTGGCAGCGGGTGCTGTCTCAGGTAGTTCCAGGCCATCCGTATGTGCGCCTCGTGGGTCCAGTCCTCAAAGGGCAGAGTCTGGCGCTCAAACGCCGACATGAACGCTGCCTCAGCCAGACTGTGGTACGACCTGGCAGGGATAGGGATGGAGATTGAATGTAATGATATATGACTGGACGAAACAGTGGCCAAGTGTGATTGCCTGACCAGTGACCAGGTGGTGGTGTGGTGGTGAATTGGGGTTTTTGGGCGCCCGGACTACAACTGTGGTCATCGGCGCCCAACCAGTGACCAGGAAGGGTACTGGTCAAAGGTACTAATCATTAAGTACAGAGCTCCGGTCTGGATTAAGTTGCTTATCAAAACGCGAAGAAAAACTTGCAAAACTAGCGCCGTTTGCTTATAAAACATACCTATATGGCTATGGAAGAACTTCACGGACATTGCAATGAAAAAATAGTCTTGTGAACCGAGCAACTTAAGAAAGCTGGAAGTGATATTTAGGTGAGCTAAACGGGTTACAAACCAAAGACATTTGAGCTGTGTGGTCAGCGCTGTTTCACTTACCGCTGGTAAAACACCATCGGAGGGCGGTCCTGGGCCACCGTTGACTCCAAAACCTCCCCATAGATGACAGCGTGGTCGCCCACTATGTCCGATTTGAACACCGAACACCGAATGCCTGCAAAACACAAACAAATAGCGATGCTGTGAAAAGGATTTCGGGGGTGACACAGCGGAACAATTTCGTTATGCTGGATGAACAACAAAAACCAAGTAACAGTACATGGCTTAAAAAACAGCTACTGTCGCAATGCCCCCCATGGAGACATCAAACACAGTACCTACAGCTCCATTTGTTTCTCAGAGCTGTGCCTATTACAGCTTGTCCGTATCATTATGACATTGACAGGTACCCGTCATCTCCTTTCTGTCAGAAATTCGTCTGTCACTCTATTCTGCCTGCGAGTCCTGTCAAGTTGATCAATTCGTCTATCCCGTCTAGCCGTTAGTGAATCAATCGATTCGATTATCAGTACCTGCGGCCACATCTGGCAGCAGAGGCACCCCGTTCTCGTCGGTGGTGTGAGAGATGCCATCAAACTGGTCCTCGTTCTTCTCCGGAGGACGGGCAAAGTGGACGCTGAGGCTCACCTGTGAACAGCACCGGGAAAGGGGAGGTTAGAAGGTGGCTAGAGGCTGGGCGGTGTCTCTCAGCTGCCGGGGCTAGACAATCGATCAACACAGGGCTGTCACATCTGTCCAAGTGACTAGAGCTCTCTCCTTAAAAATCACTGAACTAACTGAGGATGACTCAATATTTACACTGCTTATGCAGGTCGTCAGTCAATCGTAATAACGGCATTTATTGCCTCTCGGAGATAAAATTAGACAGAAAAGTGTCAATAAACAATGGATTTTGGGTACGAGCAAGAGCTGCTGCACAGGCAGAGAAAGTGTGTACTATGTAGTGCCCAAAACGTCCACTACGCACCGACCTCCTCCCTCTCCCCACCATGAACCCGCTCTCCCTCCCCTCCCCTCAATCGACTGACCTGTCGCTCTGCCAGCACGTGCACGTTGAACCGTCCCGTGTCGAGCACCAGCCGCAGGAACCTGCTCGGCTGACCGATACATACGCTGACCAGAGGTGGGTGTGCCGAAACGCTGGTGAAGCTACTGCAGGTGAACCCACGCCGTGGACCGCCGGCCGCCGCAGCAGTTACTACGACAACTGGAGGGTAGAGAAGAGGTCAGGTCAGGGGAGTATTGTAGAGCAGATGCCCGGTCAAGGGGAGTACCGTAGAGCAACAGTCATTAGGTCAGGGATAGTACGAGCGTTTTAGGAGGATGAGTGTTTCCAGTCCAGGCAAGAATTGGGAATAACACCAAGTGTGAAAGATAGTGACGATATTGGTATTTGCTAAATCTATAATCTACAAAACTACCCAACCAAACCTGACCCACACTTTTATCCATACGTTCTTTATACCTCACGTACATTTAAGCGCTACGTACATTCATCCTACGTACTTTTACCGGCGTACATTTACCATACATACTTTTACGATATGCATTATGCACTTTAACCCTGAGAGCCTGAATATCGTTGTTAAGTATTTTTGATTGTGTACGGCGCTATGCTAAGCAGAAGCTGCGGAGACTCCGGTAGTGTATCAACTATCAATCAATCACGCTATGCCGCCACCTAGCGATAATTACGAAAACTAAGTAGATGTCGCCGCTAGCACAACTATAGCAGCGCCATCTACGCGTCGTCCACGGGAGGTTTCTCCGTGGACCTCAATCCTTTTGATTTTTTTTTTGCGTAGTTCACAGCAAAGAAAATAGGTTGGTAGGCCTCCATATCTAGTGAAGTCGTTTTGAGTAAATAATAGTATCTTCAATATGCTTGTAAGGCGTGTGAATAATATAATTTGTCCATTAATGGAGGAAACTTATCAGCAAACCTTTATTATTGTTTTTTTTTTTTTTCAACCAACTAGTAGCCTAACTGAGGATGACCAGCAGCATACCTGGGACAGGCACCTCCCTCATCACAGTAAGAAACTGCATCTTCTTCTCATCTTTATCTGATTTTGCTGCACTTGTCTGCATCCTGCATCCTGAAGAAAAATGAAACAACATGTTTCCTTAAAATGTGGAAATTCGTTTATAAAATCAAACTAATAAATGGTTCACCAGGCAATATATGAGCCATATATGAAAGATATTTGTGTTCAGAATGTATAGCATACCATAGGATAGGCATTAAAATGATGAAAACAAATTGAAAATTTGTGTTCAGATTAATGTATAGCATAGAATAGGCATGGAAATGAAAATTAGTTATAACTCACCAAAGAGTGAAGAAGAAATGCTCCTCAATCTTCTACCAGGGGAAAGCAATCCCATGCTTAGTATACTGTTTGGTATGACCATTTTGAGGCAGAAGTAGTCTGACTGCCTGCAGGTCTGCACCTACTGGCTGTTGGCATACCACACCATCCATTTAAAGGTTAGATACAAACAATGAAATAGATCATCCAAGATAAGCATGGATCATTAATTACCAATAACCACCATATGACATTCAGTAAATGTGATGCGTTCAAATATGTTTCAACATCAAAATGTAGGGCAGAGCAAAGGTTAACTGAGGCTGAAATGGACACTACATTTGAAATTAATTATTGAGTCACGAGCAGGGCTGCGGAGTCGGAGTCGGAGTCGGTCGGAGTCGACAGTTGTGACCAGAGTCAGAGTCGGAGCCGATTTTAGAAACCCGAGCCGGAGTCGGAGTCGGAGTCACCGAAAATCTGTCGGCTCCGCAGACCTAGCAGGGCTGCGGAGTCGGAATCGGGAGTTGGAGTCGGTCAAAGTCGACAATTCTGCCTGGAGTCAGAGTCGGAGTCGGAGCTGGTTTTTGAAAGACGGAGTTGGAGTCGGAGTCGCCGAAAATCCATCGACTCCGCAGCCCTAGTCACGAGGAATGACGCAAACAAAGTTAAGTATCAATAAAAACTTTACAGATGAGTCCTGCAATTGCCAGCAATTATTGAGGTGGCAGCGCAGCAAGGGTGGCAGCATAAATTGGTCAAAGTGATAAGACATGGCAAGCATACCAAAAACCAAAAACGGTGTTTTTTAACAAAAAACTGAAACAGCTAAAAAAAAAACTGGGACAAAACATGGAATTATGAGATTCTTGAACTCAAGTTATCAGTAAAAGAAATAGGTTGTTCACCAGTAATTTCACCTCGAAACAATATTCGGACCTATCGACCTTTCTTGTAAGCCACAGCAATCAACCAAGGTATATAAAAACACTGCAAACACTGCAATCAACAATCCCAGCAAACCAACCAAACCTTGCAATTTTGTTTATGTGTGAGTGTGCAGCGAATATCTGGGGCTCACTAATAAAGACAAATACAATTTTTGCCTTTTGACCAATCAGCGCCCTTAAAGTGGACTAATCACGTTTCATAAACGGCGCGGTAATGACAAAGAAATACGGAAGGTAAAAGTTAGAATGTATCAATCGATAATGATATGTCCCGGAAATTTTGTAAAATTTATGAAAAATGACACTTCACACCGTAAGGTTGACTTCCATTAGGAAGAAAATATTTTTTTGAATCTAATACCATTTCATCTACTTGTAATATCTTCGAAACAGTTAATTTGTATCATTTTTGTAAAGTTTGTTTTTGCTCGCTTCCAATCGATAAATTTTTTAAAAGGAAAATTAGGAAATATACTATACCGTTTGTTTTCGACTTCTTGCTTATCTTTCCCAAAGATATAACTAAACCAAGTGATCTGCAGGAAGAGGCATGAACCTCGGCAATCAATCGGAAGACAAGCAATTTAAAATCACAATAAATCCTTCTTTATTATCGATAGACATTTGATACGGCCAGGTTCATTCCAGATGCCCTTCGAATGCATACTGAATGAAAACAATATGTAAACGTGATGTAAACATCCTACACTTTCATTGCACTTGTCGATGTCGTTACCCCCCCCCCCCTCTTATTAGTGAATTGATCAGGATCTTGCACCCATTGCCCCAGGCCCACTGACTGCACCGACCGATAATATGGGTTTATTGTTCATGACCTTTTTATATGTCGAGTGAGTCAGTTATGAATGGCTATTAGTAGCATTGTCAATGGGCGCTGGTATCACTTACTTATCAGTATACAAAATTACAGATTTTTGAAGCGTACCGACTAGTTTAAGATCAATATATTGATATCGGGCATTGCTTTCTTGGCTTGATCCGAAGCTCTGATTGGCAGAAGCGCGAACTTCAGCTCAACTTGGTTGGGTGAGTTATCATTATTGTCATCATCATCATCATCATGTCAATGTCAATCAAATGGTTGACTGTCAAGTGTCAAGTGTCACCTCCTTAGTCCCTTCACCTTACACTTAGGCTTACTGGGCTTGCCTCCTAGTAAAGCATCAAGTATGTTAACCCATCAATTATATTCTTTGGAGAAAACAATGATATAAACCTTCCGTTGCTGACAGTGTGCTAATTTTGATGTAACGTGATTGTTTTTTGCGGCAGGTGTATTTTCAGCTGTCATTTTACCCCAGAGTGTGATGTTGGGTCATGAGTGGACAGAGCTCTGCGCCAGAAGGCAGTGAGGAGCCGACAGCACCACCACGGCCACAGCAGGCTCAGAAGTGGTGGGAGGCCATGTGGTGTCCCAACAGTGCCGGTGCACAGTTCTGCTTTTTTCTCTGCTGTGTGTTCTCGGTCTTCTCTGCAGTTAGTCGCAGGTGTGTTTTGGAATTGTGTGCAGGGACGTAACTTAAAAGTTGCAAGCACATACCTACTTTGACCCATGCAAAGAATAGCCATTTTGACAACTTTCAAACATTTTTTTTTTTGAAAATGAGTACCTAAAGCAAAATTTGTGAAATTAAGGATTTGCAAGCAAATTTACAAAGTGCTACCATTATAGATTTTACCTACCCAGAAATTGGTGATGAAGTTAGGTCATAGAGTTGTCAATTTCCTGTAATGTTAATGCTGAATGTGCTCTTAGCAGTAATACCTACCTGTAAATAGTGTCTCCCCCCCCCCCCCACCTTCCTGCACCCATTCACTGCTTATATCACTTCCTATATTAAGTATATTTCTCCCCTGCCTCATACCCACAGCAGTCAGTTATCGTCGGCTGCCTCATTTACTGACACCCCCCCCCTCCCCAACAGCCCCTTTCTGCTGGCCCCCCTGGTGCCTTCCCAGCCAGCAGCTCCTTTCTTCGGTCAGCATGACCCGGTGGCAGACTACTTCACCGGTGATACACCGGCAATGCTGAAGAGAGCAGCCGCCAGCCATGCCAGCGTGCTTTTCTTCTATGCTCCGTGGGACAGTGCCAGTCAGGCTGCTCGGGTTGAGATCCTACAGGCAGCACATGTGCTGAGTGGTCAGGTAAGGATGGGAATTGTGTGTGAATGAGGGTGTTGTGTGGGACTAGGGGAGGAGGGAAGGGTTGGGGAGAGTTGTAGGGCTAGGGTCATGGGTAGGACTGGACCGGGAGATGTGGCGAAGGGTATATAATATATGGTATATATAATGTTTATGTTGTAAAAATTACGTAGCAAGCACTCATTGGGCGAGACTGATAAAGAGTGGGGCGACATTGCCTGTTTTACGGTGGACGTATTTAACGCTTGGCTTAACTCAAATTCAATGATGAATTGTAGAGTCATTTTCGTAATTTTCAAAAACTCAGAATCGGGAAATTTTCTGGTGAATGATGAACTTTTCACTGCCGTGACCTGAAATTAAGCGGCAAGTATCGAAGTTTATTTCGCATCCTGCTTAGCTCTTGGGCGCAAAATGACCTCGCAATCGGCGCGCCCCTAACCCCCAACAAACAAACAAACAAACTGCTTAGCTCTTCACTTTCCGTGGCTCTCGACTGACGTTTGACGATTTTCACAGGTGGACGTCCTCGCCATCAACTGCTGGCATGTTACCGGAGAGTGTCGCAAGAAAATAAAGAACATCGCCGCTTTCCCGCTGGTTATAGTCTCACTCCGGCACGGACGAGGTAAGGACTATGCTAACTCCTTAGTCTCTCCCTCGTATTTTCGCGGTAAGGTCCGCAGTCACCGCGCTTATCTCTCCTTCCATTCCGCCGAAGTTATCAAAGTCACAACCAGTTATTCCTCAGCCTCAACCACGGGTTTGTAAGCACTAAATCACCTACACCACTTTGCTTCCCGTGGACCGTTTGCATCCTCATAGCTACAACTGCGGCAGAAAATCTGGAAGTCAACTGCTGGATTTCTTGGATTCTCTGCATGTGTAGTTACCTAAGTGTTTTCGATGCATCGGAAAAAACTGTTAGTTTTTCATCAGTCAAGGTCCATTTTACATCGACGATATTCCCGTCAATCGGTGATGTCACATGACTCTTTTCTGTCGCTCCTCTCCCCCCCCCTCCCCCAACCCCTACAGGCGTGCAGTACTCTGGCCCACTGGAGGCCGCCCGACTGGTTCGGTTCGTTCAGCGTGTGCTGCGGCCGCTCAAACGGCTAGAGACGGCTGCCGATCTGGCCCTGCTGCAGGCTGCTAGCACGGTTAGTTGATGGGAAGTGGTCTGGAACTAGCTGTTGGAACCTCGGAAAATAAGACGTGGTGGGGTGCGACATGGGTCTTTTTGGAAATGGAGAAAAATGTTTCGTTAGCCGGTGGGATGCGTGGATGATGCGTAAGTTATTTGGTTTCGTTCTGTTTCTTTCAGCGTTTGGTTTTCGAGTTCACCTGAGCGAACGAGGAAGAAGTTGTTGTCGACATACCGTTGTACTTTTGAAATACGTTGATCGTTGTTTGAATTATCAGTACCAAGATTCATTTACGGGATAAACAATCTCGAAATAGTTTACCTTAAAGGTTTATTGCGCAGCGCTGGATCAATCAAGATTCAGGAACGAAATAAAGATTTCCAGATTTTCTCAAGTCTCACCTCTCTTTCTCTGTCACAGACGATAGCGGTGGGCTACACCCCGTTCGTCGAGGGCCGTCCGCCGGCCTCCTACTTCAGTCTGCTGCGAGCCGCCCTACTCAGCCTAGAGGAGCGGCCGGGGGCCGACCTGGCCTGGGCAGTGGTCACTAACGCGCGAGCTGCCGCCCGACTGAGGCTACATCACCCCGGTGGACTGGCCGTGGTGAATTGGAACGGCACCACGGTTAGTTTGGGTAACAATCTATCTCGTTGACTGGGTATGTGTCTTGGGTAGGTGACAATATATCTCGTTGACTGGCTGGGTATGTGTCTTGGGTAGGAAATAATCTTTCTCGTTCACTGGCTGGGTATGACGTGTCTCGGAGAGGTAACAATCTTTCTCGTTGAATGGCATGGTTGTCTAATGTCTATGCCTATGACTGGGGATGTAACCGACCTATTAGTTGGCTTATGGCGGGTCGGCGGTTTTTTCGCTTCCCTCGACCCCGGTCAGCGTCGGTGCGTGACCGATTATTTTTGCATGGCTTTGACTCGACGTCAGTGGGTCGATATTGTGGAATGTGGGGAGACCGGGATGAGGAAGGGTTCGATCGAGCGGGTAACTCTGCCTTTTACCTCGACGGGTATACACAAGGAGTAGTTATAACTTGTATACAAAAACAAAATTATACGATACTGACGATAACATGCTGACGATAATGCGTTTGAAATAGATGCACCGTGACCGACGTCATATCGGATAGTTGATTTATTTGTAATAACTATAACGGCAATAAAGTTAAAAATATCCTGTTTTCACGAAATTATCTAGCCGTATAACGTCTATTCAACTCTTTGGTGTCTCTTTCCCACCCAGGTTTTGAAGCAGCCGCCGAGCGGCGCGCTCACGGCGGAGCTGATGAAAAGCTATGTTTCGATGCGCCGCCGCGAGATGGCAGGCTGGCTGGAGTTGCCCGACTCCAAGTCCAACACGCTGCGTGTGGTGCTGTCTGGCGGCGCGACGCTGCTGGTTTTTGACCGTCGCAGACCTCTAGCGCCCGCCGCCGATCTACAGGCGGTCTCAGCGGTAAGTGAAAGCAGGCTTTGAGCTCAGTTGATTTATTCCTGTGTTCCTTTCAATTAAAACTGTTTTTTCTTCTTTGCTTTGTGCTTATTCGCTGCCGCGCTCGTGGATTGAACATTGCAAACTTTTTAGGTATATCGCTTTAGTCTTCTGGATTTGGTTTAATAAACTGTGCGAGCGTGTTGCCGATCGCCTTTAGCATAACACTCAGAAGCGACCCCATCCCCATCCCTAAACTGTTCTTTACACTGTGTTTTTATATCGTCAGGTTCGACGCGTGTGGCTGGACTACAACAACTGTAACAGCTCCGAGGCCGTCACCAAACTGGGAAAGATCCACCACACCATATACAAAAGTTAGTGGCTAGCTTAGTCTCTGAGCTCGTACAGTGTAACTGATCTCTGCTTTCATACAGGGAAGTAGATGCCTACAGTATATGTCTATATTTAGAGATACCCAGGGAACTGATGTCAGTAATCGCTTGTGTTCAAAGTCTTGCGCGGACCTTGTGTTCTTAGATCACTTAGGTCGAACCGGAACTAAACAGTAAACACCTTTGTCTGTTCGCCAGCTCTGATGCCCAAGGAGCAGCAGCAGGTAGCCGCGTGTCTACGATGGACGGACAACGGAGATGCCCCTGGCACAGCCGCAGAGCCAGACAGGACACACGCGGACGTAAGCTCGGGGCAACCTGGCAGTGAGGATGGAGAGCTGAGCAGTGGAGAAGAACTTGACAGTAAGACAGAACGTCAAGACAGCCAAACTGGAGAGAATAATAATGCGCCAATTCAACAGGACAGTGAGCCAAGCCAGGAGGAGAGCACTTCAGGCCAACAGGAGAGTTTATCTGACGAGCAGGAAAGCTTGTCGGACCAGCAGGAGGACAGCGACTACCGCGCACAGTCGTCCAAAGCGGCCGGTAGCTCTACCCCACCGAGAGACTTCATTCATCCTGATCCCGGGTAAGACGGCACGGGGCGCGACTTCGGATGTTTCATTGCATTGGAATGCCGTTAGGCCTGTGTGTCTTATATGCTCAGGTGACATCAGTCCCTTTATATGTGCTGCTCCTTATATTTTGTCCTCATGTCATGTCCTCATCATCTTACTCTGTTGTTTTGTTTCTTGTCGTCACTCTCGCCTTATCTTACGCTCCCTACCGTCTCTCCCATCCCAGGCTGCGTGACCTGGTGTGGCAGCAGAGTTTATCCCACTGCCGCGGTCTGCTACTGGACCTGCAGCAACACGGACAGCATGTCCGAGGACAGCGGGATCAGGAACAGAAGTCTGAGGAGAAAGTGGTTCCTGTCAACATCACAGGTTAGTGACTCTCGTGAATCATGACACCGCTCAGTATCCGTTTTACTGAGTATCGTGGCCTAGTTTTGAGGCTCCGGAAACTTCGCTGTTACCAATACTCTCATCCATGTTTGACACATTGTGCAAACTTTAACGTGCATGCTAGCGTACGTTCACTTTATGGCAATATCTTCAGCATTTTTAACCTCGTAAGAGATATCATATTCATAGTATCTCTGTCCAATGTCTCCATGAATATCATAATCGATAGGAATTGCCCATCTTGTCTCCTTTTCCTACCACCCTTCTCTAGCCCCACATACCCAGCCAGTGACCCTTGTTTTCCCTGTGCTCTCTCCCCCAGGTTTACACTGCGCTACCAACCGCACTCTCTCCATCTACCTATTGGACTCTGTGCGCCACGCGGCACTCGTACGGAGGCTGGGCCTGACACCGGGCGGCGCCGGAGCCGTCATACTGGATGCAGAGGTATTGCAGCCGGGCTAGGTGTGATAATGCGATGGTTTGGATTGTTCCTGGCTCAGTTTTTCTGAAATTAATGCGCGGTGGCATATTTTGAATTTTCGTGGTGTGTTTCCATTAGCAACATTTTCCGAGTCCTTGCGCTAATCGCTATTTATTGCGTTGTTTGACATCAAACATTAACCGCATATTTGTCCCATTTACGTCGCTCGCATATTATCAGCGTATTTAGAATAGCCTTTGCTAAGCTTCATTCCACGCCATGTGACCAGTCACCCACGATGCAGCCGCTCACCTTCACCTACGTTTTTGTTTGCTGAGCTCCAACCGCGTTCAACCTCTGGTTACCTCTTTGCCTATCACATTGCACCTGGCTCCATTTTTAGAGTGCTTTCTAACTGTTCCTCTGTTCATCCACAGGCGGAGAGTCAGTACGTGCTAGACGGCCCGGTGACTACTGACTCATTGAGTCAGTTTGTGGCCGACTACACGGCCGGTCGACTGACTCGGACTCTGGTATCTCGAGCTAACAACCTTGAAAGCGAATGCAGCGACGACGATGAATGCTGCCCCTCATCGGCACCGAAGGCTTCGGTGGATAGTGGTTTCAGCTCACCGCATTGGGACTTTGAAACCGTCCCGGCCAGTGATGGTAAAGAAGACAGTGATGATGTAGAAAGGACGTCAGATCGTGATAAACCGTCAGCGGCAGATGATGTAGCGAGCGACGGAACCTGTGTAAAACCGTCACAGGTGACGTATGGTGATGTGACATCACAGTGTGACGTTTTATCACATTGTGATGATGTGACGGCGAATGGAGAAGCGAGGACTGAGGATCTTTGGTCGGAAGCTGTACGAAGGCCGACTGTTCGACCCCTGGTGGGTCCGACGGAGCTTACCTCGGAAACGTTTAAACAAGTGGCGCTTAACAGTAGTGAGGTGAGTCGTCTGGTAGAGGACGGATGAGACTGGGTAGGATGGCTGATAGAAGGCGCTGGTGTTTCGTCTTTCTTTAGGGATGCTGTCCCTCCGTAGTCAACACGCTCGCTGGTTTTGTGAAAATGTTTTTTTTTACTCGGCTGTTTTTCGGGAGGGAGGTAGGCGCATTTAGTTTCTGGGCCTGTTTCAGAGCCCTTGGATAAAAAGTGGGGAATCATTTGACTTACATTTGTGTCTTAACCGTCTGTGATCTTTGGGCTTTTCTCAGTTTTTGGTACGTGCACTCCTAAAACTCTCAGTGTTCTCAGAACTTTTAGTGCTCTCAGAACTTTTGGGTCGGTACCTCCTATCAGAACTTTGTGTTTCAATACTCTGCCAAAAGCAATATCTGTCAGTATTTTTTTTTTTTTCACCACCTCCATGTCCATGTCCATGTAGTACATATGTGTCTCGCCTGCCGCCAGTGGCGATGTCGGCCGAGTTGTGAGCTTTTGGGGTTGGGTCTTTTATCTTCTTTGGCGTGTTTGACAGGGGTGGCATCATCGTGTAGGGCAGTCTTCACTCTTCATTGGGCTCTGGAGCGATTTTGTTTGCTTGTCTCAGGACCGCTTGTGTTGAGTCCGGTGTCGGCATTGGGTTGGCGGATAGCACTCTTTTGACGTCAGCCTCACGAACACGGAACAACAGGTCTTTTTTGGGGGGGGGCTTTAATTATATAGCTGGTATATATTTGTTTGTTTTTTGTTGCTGTTTTTTGCCACTTTTTTCCTCTTTTGTCATTTTGTTCACATAGTGTTCACATGCACGATAACACGAGTTTTTAATTAAGTGAGCCTTTTTTCATACATTTTTTTTCAACTAATTTTTTAGCTTTCCATTTTTTGGGGGGGGGGGCTCTTTTTTGTAAGTTTACATGGCCCGGGGGAGGGAGAGCAGGCGGAAATCACGAAGTTGGAATTGTTACCGCCCGCGGTTGGGCTTGTCTGACATCCACCTCTCGCGTTCCGTTGCAGGACGTGATAGTATATTTCTACTCTGTTGGCTGCGGCCACTGCACTGCGTACTACCACGTGTTTCTGGCCGCCATGCGGCTGTTCACAAACTCAGGGTTGCGGTTCGCGCGGATAGATGGCGCTGCCAACGACCTGCGCTGGGAGTTCTCACTGGAGACCTTCCCAACAATTATGTATCTTCCTGCTCAAAGGTAAGACATCTGTTTCATCCGTTAACATCCCGCCTGGCTTAGCCTCAAAGCTATGAAAATGTGAGTTTGTCGACAATGCTCTGTGTTTTGTCGACCGATGAAATATTTGCACGCCTGCGGCTTGTATTCCATTCAACTTGCCTCCTTGACACGTGTCTGCAGTCATACCGAGTCGCAACTGCAAGATGCAGAGAAATCGTCAAGATTGATAGTCGAGTGTTCAAGCTAGTTCTTGCTCTGTGTCCTAGGCGTAATGCTTTATATTAGAGTCCTTACGGGGCCAAAGCCTCATTCCTTCTTTGTCATAGCCTTTATTGACCCTAACGGCTAACATCCCTCTGTGCCGCCGTTTCAGGAAATCCGAGAGCCGTGTGTTCCCGGCGGACCTACCCATCACCCTCGGGTACGTACTGCGATTCATCCTGGCCAACGCCAGCAGCTCAGTCCGACACGCATTCTTCTACAGTCAATGTGACGCGGCGTGTCGCGCAACTACAGCTTACAAAACACGCCGACAGGCGGCGCTAGTGCGGCGGCGGCAGCTGAGTGGTGCGAGACGGACACTAACGCGACACACGGCAGAATTGGCGAGGCTGCGACGAGCGTTACTTGCTACAGCGAGAACTGAGCTGGATGGTGTATGACGTTACATAGGGAAACGTCTTTATTGCGGTTGGGTGAAGTGAACGGGGGTACGTTATTTTGGTTCCCGGCCGTGCAGCGAAGTGTTCCATTGGGGATTAGCAGTGCTGTTCGCGGAAACATTCGAGAACTATTACCATCAATGAAGGCGAACGTCAAAGGCGTGAGAATACTGCCATCACAAGCTCTGTAACGTCATACATCACTGTCGTCTGACGTCACGACCGCACATCACGCCCATCACTTCCGTCGGCGCCACTAGAAGCAGCACCTGTCAATCCAGGTCGAGACTCATTCCATACGGGACAGTCTTCCATCAGCTACAGCTCAGCCCCGGCAGTGTCCTGTACCTGGACAGCCGACTGGTTGAACTTTTAGCTAGCGGGCCGATCAAGTTGTTGGATTTCGGGCTGGCTAGCTGACTGCCTAGAGTTAGCTGACTAACAAGCTGGCTGCTTCGACTTTTATGCGATTGGCTGACTCGTTGAATAGCTGACTGGATAGCTGGCTAGCTAGCTAGCTGGCTGGCTAGACTTCTGGCTGACTAGCTGATTCAACGTTTGCACAAAGCTGTTCGACTTGCTGGACGTCCAGCCGTACGACAGTCCACCCTGAGCTTCTTCCAGACTAGTTAGGTACTACCTCAGCGCCCGCTTATGTCGGGTGCCCATGGCGGCTGTAGGCGAGGGAATGTAAGAAAAAGCTTGGCACCGAATCCCGCCGTTTGCTCGAAGCTGTCATACTGATGCCAGGCCGGGTTGAAAGCTTGACTGCAGGCTGTGGCTGGGGACGAAAACGCGTGATCTTTCGGTGGTTTAATGGTCATTGAAGCGAACGATATTGCCACCGGTGATGTATGCGTGAGGATATTGCCGTCCAATTCCACTTGGGCCTGGCCTGTGGGAGTCATTTTGACGCTAATTCCGATCGGGTTGTATGTTTAGGGAAGCTCTGACGGTTTGTGAAGCGGACCAAGTGTGGCTTGTCAGCCCTGTTGCGCTTAGCGGTTTTCTAGCTCGAGGGGTGCCGGATGGAAGGCGAGTGGCTATGTGAAGACTGGGTCGTGTGAACACCGGGTTTCGGTCTGGTCAAAGCCGTTCTGAAGTGACAAGGTGGCGGGTGTGGTGAACATATTTTTTCGGGATAACTCCCGGCAGCCACTCGGGCATTGCGATGGGGGTTCTCATGAGAGTTTCGTGGTGGATTCCGATCACAGATCGACGCAGGGATGCGTTGGGCTACGTGTTAACTGGAGGCACTACTGTGATATCTACCACAGGCACGTATTTTTCACACCATGGCACAGTGTTGTTGACTGTTTAGTTTTGAGTTTGTGGGGCTAGCACTTATTAGGATGCTTCGTAATATCAATATCAACTTTCCTCTAGCAGGGAAGATATAGGCTTTCCTCTGAAGTGGAAGACACCGGCTTTCCTCTAGCAGGGAAGATATCGGCTTTCCTCTAGCAGGGAAGAGACTAGTTTGTGCCGAGTTTTGCCAGTTCATCGGCCAGCGATGCGAAACGCATGTGTGACGGGGCCAGCTCAGGTTTTGCCTTTGGTATCTATTATCGCATCGATCTGATGTGGGCTATTTCTGGCGATATTTGGGGTTTCCAAGGGCATTTGCCTGCCACGAACTACGGTGGTAGGCCTACTTATGGGTGGCTAATGATTTGTTAAGTTATTTACGAAGACATTTATATTATTTCTGTGACTGATATGGCTTGTTTGGTATATAATAAATGTTCACAATGCATTTTATTGGTATCTGTTTCTGGATTGGGAATCTAGTGGGATGAAATTATGTTTGTCTTGTGTTCTTGATCCATGATGAATTGATTATTACGTTAAAATGTGAAGCGATGCAGCAAAATGCAGTTAAACGCTAAAAACAACTCTGTTCCTGTCTGGCACAAAATTTGTAACATAAACGGCGAGCTCTCAGAGATTAATTGCACGCTCCGTGGAACAAACACTGCGTAAAAGTCAATGGCCCTTTAGTACCTGTTTGCTGTTTCGCACGCGTCTGCACACGTCTACATTGGTGTGTATTCTCTGGTCTATTTCTTGATCTATTTCAACGTCTTGGAGCACTGTCCGACATCTAACATGAGGGACGAACGACTTTATCGACTGTTTTTAAATTTCGCCAGTCGTTCAGTTGGTACTTGAAGCTTTTGTTTTCCTTCCATGAATACCTAAGCTTTTGGCGTCAATTTCTTACACTCACTTCAAAGTCGCAACCATTTTCTTCAGTTGAGGACAAACTTTATTTTTATTGCAATACGAGTGGCAGTGAAAATGACAATGGTGCGGCTTGCGTGGGACCTGTTCTCTTCATTTGAGCGTTAGTGTCGGTATGTGGCGTCAAGACGACGGATAAAGAAGAGACGTCTTCATGGCACCTTTCGTCGGAAGTTATGCCTTTCAAGGATGCCAGTCGATTCAGCTGAAGACGAGCTCGATGTTCGACGATGAAAAGAACTATAGCTGGTCTTCAGGTAGGTAGGACAGTCATTAGGTGTGTGTATTAAACTGCTGTCAGTAAGCCAATCGCTTAACGTTTCATTCAGCTTCATGATCAAATATGTTATATATCCATATTCCATTCATATCTTGCTGCTCATGCTGCTCTCGATGCACGTTTATTTTCACTAAACCCTAACATAGTATGCACACAATAATTAACAATCTAGAGTGCCATTGAATTTTCACAGCTTTTGGATACCCAAAAGGCAACAAATAGCACCAGTCCTCCCTTCCCTTCTTCTTGTAGGTGAGCTGTTTGAACGGCCTCCTTCTGCTCGCGGCATTCTTTTTCGCTCTGGCCGGCTTCTCGGGAATCTGCGGCGGCCTCTTGTACGGGACGTCTCACATGTTCACTATGGTCGGCGACGCCCACCTGGTCAACCCAGAGACGGCCTCCAGCTTCACGAAGAAGCTGGACGCCAAGTTCGACAGCTTCAGAAACAGCAGCGCAGCCAAGGGCAAGCTGCTCAAGGAGATGGGAATGATTACTTTCTATGTAACAGGTGAGACAAACACAAAGGTCTTGCAGGTATCCCGAGTCCTAGAAAAAAAAAAAACGGCGAAGAAAAGAATAACAATCAGTAGAGCTCGTATCTTGAGATTGTCTTTGCATTTTGTTTGACCTCTTATTTCATCTCACCTTTCCCCCTCCAACCCTCAAATCCTCTACCCCGTGTTCCAGGCGGCCTGGCAGCACCAGGCGTCATCTTCCTCTTCTTGGCGGGCATCGAGTTCTGTCGCACGTTCATCAACTCCCTTGGTGAAGAGCCTCCGCCTGAGGTGGTCCCCGTCGCCGCGCCGATGATGCTCGAACCTCAGGAGTCCCTGACGTGCTGTGCGACCGCTTGTTGTCCAGATAACGATATTTGTTGTCATATGACGTGTGCAGAGCCGACGGTGGAGTGCTGCTGCTGCTGCTGCGCCTCAGTCTGCTGTCCTGACTCGGATACGTGCTGCGCTATATGATTGAGGTGAGGACTGAGGATGATGGGTATGGGGTGGCATGTATGGGTGGAGTACGGGTATTGGGTATGGGATGGGTATGGAGGGTTTAGGTGGTGGTTGGGATAAAATGTGCGTAGACTGTTTGACGCCGCTATCCGTCATGCGTTGGTTACGTCGTGGCGTGGCTTTGACATATCGACTTTCTGTCCCCTGAATCTTCGTCCGGCATTGACCGAACAACATCAGATTAGATTGCTCCGTTTTTTTATGATGTGTATAGTGCTGATTTGGATATCAACAAACGCCACACGATCAACCAAATGATATTTAAAAAGGTTAAAAAACAAAAACGTTATTATCAAGACTCTACGGTTGACACGACATAGCAGATAAAGATGACCTCGGACCAGATAAACAATAACATTTTTATTTCTGTTAGCGCATGTTTGACATCCTTTTAGGCAGCACTAACATTGGTGACTCGTTCCCAGATTGTGCTTGGCCAACCTGGCCCATATTCACGTCGAAGGCTAAGGCGGAACCGTCAGTACGAGGCCGCTTCGTAAGCTATGTCCACAGTGAGATGCCTGCGATTCTCTTCTTGCGATACAGTGCGATGCCTGCGATACAGTGAGTCAGGGACTCTTCTCAGAGTGGCCGACTTGCAGTGACCATGTTTGCAAGTGCGGTGTGTTTCGTCATGTCATATGCTGATATCAAGAAAATGAAACATGCAATGTGTATCTACCTTCAATACACGCGTTTTGTAAAACAGCATTGCGCGGTGTCTTCACAACGGAGACGTGAAAGAAAAGTTGCACGGCTTTTTTATTATGAAAATAGCCTCCCACTGCGATATTGGCTTGGAGCCAATGGAAGCCAATGGAACTTAGGTGTAGCCGGTGTAGCCAAGGTAGCAAGGTATAAGGTATGGGTACTAAGGTAATTAATTAAAATAAATAATGTATATTGGCGAAGCGGTGTAGCAAATATTACCTTTCGAAAGGTGATAAACCGCAACGCTAGATGAGAAGGAGCAAGCAAGATGAAAGTTATGTTGGTGTTTACTGCTTAACAAGTTTCAACAAGTTTTCTGCTATAATCGTCGATTTATTATGTAAAATGCTAGCAATTAATTATGTTTAAGGTTTTGTTGAAAACCGACTTTTAATGTTTCGTCTTAGCTACTGATCCTTTAGCACTGCTTAATACATGAAGAGAGTCGTCAATAAGATTTAAAGTTTAAACGTGCTTTTACTGGAAGCATAACGTTTATCTATTTCATCCAGAAATAGTGTTGACTCGAAGATTGCATCTTTCTCTGCGCGCCAGCGAAGAAAGTCACCATGGGATCCGGAGGCATTCGGGTAAGTTTATAATGCCTGTGAAAGTAGCACCTAAATAGAAAATGTATCTGTCCCTGCCCGTTTATTGCGGCATCTTTTATCACTATTTACTCCCGCAGGACAAGTCATGTCCACTTGCTTCATTAGTAATGTAAGAGATAACGTTACAAGACGGGTCTTCCGTGTTGGTCATTGATTAGCAGCCAAGTGATTGATATGATCCTGTCCTGTCGCTGAGGCACCTGGGATCCGAGACCTTTCACATTTCGACATGGTGATGATCTCGGAAATTGATAATGTTGAGTGACACCTTCGATACATTTGTTCACTAACGGCATGAAGCTGGCATAACCATTTTGTGCATGCCATTTTAGTTAATGTATCCCTGTTGTTACCCTTTTTATCATTCTATTCAACATAAAATTCTTATAACATGTGACGTTCACGCTTAGGTAGGTAAGCAATTAGTCTTCCATTGTTAATCCCGATTGTTTTGAACTCTATGCAAGGGCAGCAACCGGTGGCTCTTTGACGTTGACTGCGCCAATATGCTCCTTGATAGGCCAGCTGCCAGTCCACGCTCTGTATCCTGGCCGGTATCGCTCTGGGGATCGCCCTGCTCTGTCTTCTTAGCGGCGGCATCCTCTACGGCGTCGCCAAGGCGTTCACGGGCGTCTCCAACGTGCACCTGGTGAACCGCACCACGGCCTCCAACTTCACCAAAGGCATGGACGACAAGCTGGATAACATCCGCGAGGGAAGCGCCGAGAAGGCCGTCTGGTTCATGGAGAAAGCGCATGAGATGTTCTACGCAACAGGTGAGGCAGGCTGGGACGGAATCTCGAGGAATCTAAGACACCCTTATTTTGCAGAAACGGTAACCGGTCATTACGAATTGCGTTCGTAAAATGTCAGATTTTTTTTAGTTCACAGAAACGGTAACTGATTATTACGAGTTTTGTCCGTAAAATTTCGATTGGTCCATTTCCGCGCCATTCATTTCCTGCGTAAGACAGAAATAATAGATTCCCTCAAGTTTTCACGACTGAGCGCGTATCGCACGCTTCTATGTAATGAATGTGATAAGGGATAGCACTGCACAGTGCACACATTGCACACTGCACAGTACACCGGGCAGACTCATATCCAGCCTCCTCCTCACCTCTCCAATGCTTGCCCTCGTCCTTTCTACTGTCCATCCCCGTTCTCACATCGTTCTATAATCCAGTCACACGCCTCTCCCATCTCACAGGTGCCTTCGGAATCGCCTGCGTGGTGTTCCTTCTCCTCTCCTGCGTGGTGGCCTACAAATCCCGTCCGACTCTAGCACCTCCCATCATAGCCGACCCCTTCGCTCCTGACGAAGAGCCTCCACCGCCTGGTGGCGAAGAGGACGGGGTCATTTCTCCAGTGCCGCCGGCGGGGTCACCGCTGCCTCCAGGATCACCGGTGCCTCCTGGGTCACCGGTTCCCCCAGGGTCACCAGTACCTCCTGCCTCACCGCCGCCTCCGGAACGCGCAGCAAGCCCTGTGGCGTAGATGATGACGAGGCTGAAGGAAATAGACTGAACGTGCTGACCGCGCAGCAAGTCCTGTAGCGTAGATAATGAGAAGGCCAAAGGGACTGACCATGCTGACTCAGTGAGGTGGATTGGGTTGGAGAGGATTGGTTACCGTGGTATCGCATTGGGAAATGGGATGTTATTTGAAAACAGCTTGTAGAAAGAGGAGGAGCGGCCAGGTTTTGCTGGGTGGATGCTAAGATTAGCTCGAGAGAAAACGCTACGATGAGAAAACCCGAAAGGCTGCTCGGACGGCTGGGTTGGTTGATCCTCAGCTGTATGGGGAACGTAAATGCTCGGTGACTTGAATACGCAGCAACGCTTAGATTAGGTGAAGCTTACGTTTTATCATAAGAATAATGGTTACTTAATAGGACTCAAAAGGTGCTTGGCGCTGGCAATGGAAATAAATGCTAAGAAAACGTCGAATTGCAGCTGTCTTTAGCATGCGGTCTGTCCTTTAACCCGCGCCCCAGTGGCGGTCTCAGCCAACTTCGCCCTAGTGGGGGGGGGGGGGGGGCATATGTTACCACCCACCTCTAACTCAAAAACTAAGAGGGCTAGAAAGACGCGGTAAAAAGCAGTCGACAGCTCTCAATGCGTACGTTTGAAAGTATTTAGGTCATTTTCATCTTAGAGCAATATTGACATTGAGGTCACTGTAGGTCATCAAAGGTCAAAATTTGTCAAATGTCATTATATTTCTCAGAACACATGCCGCTATCTCAGGAACTATGGTAGCTAGAAAAACGCATGAAAGAGCAATCGATAGCTTTTGAACTCTTCTTTTGAAAAGGTCATCATCAATATTGACCTCAGGTCAATGGTTTAGCCTCCAGAGGGCAAAAACTCCAAAAATAGCTGTTTTTACGAAAAGTGTTTTTCGACAATAACTTTCGACTACAAAAAGCCACGACATTGATATTGCCAGAATCGTGTTCCCCTCGCCGAGACGCGTCGAATGAACTATAATTTGACCTTGAAAGGTCAACTTGAAAATTTGACCTCAGGTCAAGGTCATGACCTGACCGAAAAAGGTCATGTTGCATATCAGTCGATGCGTCTCAACGATACAAACACAATAAGACCATCCCCAGCGTCCTATCTCTTTCCAATCGCGAGTTATTGGCAAAAAAACTGTTTGTAGCCTCAAATGACCTCAGATGACCTTTCTAGAGGCTATCAGCAAAAATGACACCTTGGTCATCACGAGTGGACTAAATCATTGTGATTCTGAAATATTTGGACTGTTCCTATGCGTACACACTGACACGGATCTAGAGGCATTTTCATTTTTCTCCATTGACTTGTAATGGTAAGGTCACGCCCCTGACCTGACCTTAGGTCACGGATATAAAAAATCTGAGATATACAAGTTGTAGGTGCCCATAACATCATGCAATCCACCAAGTTTGAAACCTTTCTGACAAACATTGCAGGCTGGACAGGATTGCAAACTTTTTTAGGCTTAGTCAGTTAACTTGACCTGGTGACCTGACCTGACATGACCTGGGGTCAAAAATTTCACACATTGTCCAAAATTGATGTACCAAAAGCTACCCCAAGCGGCGCGGCGCTACGCGCCGCGGTTTTTTATCCACACGCGAAAAACGCCACAGGGTGGTAACATATGCCCCCCCCCCCCCCCACTGGGGCGAAGGTTAAGCATGCGGTATCTCATAGCTGTATCATAGAACGAGACAAAAGGACCAAGAAGGACCAGCGAAAGGAACAAATCGCATGCAAACTGCAAGACTTTTATATTATAACCTACCACTGACATTCGCTGATTCCACGTAGTTTCAATGGTTCAACATTTCCCATCTCACCCCGTCAATTGACAGCAACTGTGACAGCCGACTGTCATGTGGCTGTTCCGTGTCTCTCCCTTCACCGTGCTGTCACAGTGACAGTTCGTTGCCAAGGCATCCTCATGACCGGGCTGCCATGACACGGCTGAATTGCCCTTCATATCAAATCAATGTCAGTTTGCCCGGTATGGTTGGGCAACTGAACGGATTTCGGGCTATGCGATCTACAGCACTGCAGGGAGCAACGTCTCCGGTTGACGGGTAGTGACGGCTTCCGAATTATATCTGTGGATTACCTGAGACAGGTAGGAACTTTTGCTTTATTCCTTGGTGCCTGGTTGGGGTTGTTCCCTCGGTTTATTTGGACCGTATAACATGGTTGTTGGGTGATACCTAAGATAAGAATTAGCATGCTTCACCTCACGCACCAGGAAAAGGTCGGATGTGTAAAGGTTATCAGTCCGTAGTTAATCGTAAAACATTGAATGGTTTCGTAGTTTCGTTATTCGTATAATATTCTTATGTCTAACAGTATTTTAGTTTCACTCGATATAACTCCATTCGTCTTCTAGCGACCTGCTCAACGCAGCTCTGCTCCACGCCAGTTCCAAGATGGCGGGCGTCTGGCTGTCCCTGCTGCTGCTGAGCATTGGAAACAGCAACATTGTCGTAAGAGCAGCAGGCGCCTGTGTTCAGAGTGGCGTCATCAATGAGAAATCTGTCTGGAACCAGGGGATGAGCGCAAACCTCAACATCAAGTTCCCGTCAGCAGTCAACAGTTGGAGAGTAACCATGACATTTGATCGCGCCCTCACTAACTTTGAGACGTGGTCTGCGACACCATCGACATCCAACAACGTCGTTTACACGCTGGATAATCTGCCCTATAACGGGAACCAGCCAGCTGGGGCTTCGCTGTCCATCGCTTTCAACGCTCACTTTGCCAGCAAAGCTGAGGTCACTAGTGTCAAGCTGAACGGCGTCGAGCAATGCCGAGGAGGTAGAGCAGGAGGAGGAGGGGCTGCAGCTACCACAACCACGACCACTACGACCACGACTCCAAGCGCCAGCTCCAACAATCCTCCGTCATCCCTCCCTTACAACTACCAAGAAGTGCTGAGGAAGTCTCTTCTCTTCTACGAGGCCCAGCGTTCGGGTCGTCTACCATCGAACAACCGGATCCCTTGGCGAGGTGACTCGGCGATGAACGACCGAGGAAAGAACGGGGAGGACCTGACCGGCGGCTACTACGACGCCGGCGATCGCGTGAAATTTGGCCTCCCGATGGCTGCTTCCATTACCGTCTTAGCTTGGGGCGCCATCGACTTCGCCAACGGGTACGCCGGTGCCGGACAGAGCAAGTACGTCAAGCAGGCCGTCAAGTGGGGGACCGACTACTTCATCAAGGCGCACGTCGGCTCCACGGAGCTCTATGGCCAGGTGAGGAACTTCAAAGGGGACATGGTTGAAGGCATGAGGTTGAGATATCTTGATACATGTTCGTTTAATTACCTAGAAACTGAGTCATTCTTTGTTCATCCGAGGCAGATGTGTCTTAGTGTGAACGCTGGGAGTCTCAAGCTGGCAGTCCCGTGTTCCCCTTGACAGTGCGGTAACGGTGATACGGATCACGCCTACTGGGGCCGAGCCGAGGACATGACCATGAACCGTCCGTGCTACAAGATCATGGCTTCTAAGCCCGGCTCCGACCTGGCCGGCGAGACAGCTGCCGCTCTTGCCGCTGCCTCCATCCTGTTCAAGACTTCAAATCCCAGTTATTCAGCCACCTGCTTGCAGCACGCGAAGCAGCTCTTCCAATTCGCTGACAGACATCGTGGCAAGTACCAGGACGCGATCCCAAACGCCGGTAAATTTTACAGGTAAGAAAGGAACAAGAAGCACAAGCCTTTGATGTATCCGTCGCTTGCACTTTAGGTGACCTCACTGGTTTATTCTCCACGTGTCAGTCTTGCCACTTTCTTACGAAAATAATCTATCTTCGCTCTTGTATGTGGTTCCAGTGCCTTGGTCACTTTACGTTTATAGGGTTCTGGTCACTTGTTCTGTAACGCTTCACTGGCTTGACTGTTCTTCTTTCATCAGCTCCAGCGGCTACGGCGACGAGCTCGCGTGGGCAGCAGCCTGGTTGTACCGCGCTACAAACGACCAGACCTACTTGAACAAGGCCAAGGGCTTCTTCCAGGAGTTCTCAGACCTGCGGGGCCGGCCAAGCGAGTTCTCGTGGAACAGCAAGCACGCAGGTGTCCAGCTTCTCATGCACCAGCTCACTGGAGAATCCTCTTATAGATCCATGGTCACTCAGTTCTGTGACTGGGTCAGGAACAACGCACCACGCTCGCCCAAGGGCATGGTCTATCTGAACCAATGGGGTTCCCTCCGACACGTGGGAAACGTCGCCTTCATCTGCCTGGTTGCCGCCAAGAACGGACTAAAGTCCAACGCCTACGAGAACTTTGCCATCCAGCAGCTCAACTACATCCTTGGAGACGGCGGGCGCAGCTATGTGGTCGGCTTTGGCAAAAACCCTCCCGTTCGGCCTCACCACGCCGGGGCTTCGTGTCCGGACGCGCCGGCGCCCTGCGGCTGGGACCAGCTGCACACCTCGGAGCCCAACCCGCACGTGCTGTACGGCGCTCTGGTCGGCGGACCCGACCAGTACGACGCGTACGAGGACAAGCGAAGTGACTACGTCAAGAACGAGGTGGCGTTGGATTATAACGCTGGCTTCCAGAGCGCCATTGCTGGCGTGTTGTCTCTCGAATGAGTACCTATTCTGCGGACCGCCAATTGCCAACAGCATGAGATGGAGATCGTTACGAGTTGAAGACTCTTGGAAAATGATTAGATGACGTTTGTCAAAAAATGAGGATGCTGAATGGTTTGGCGTTGATGTTAGTTGTGAACACGTAGTGTCCGCTGGACAGTAAATCTCGTCTTCTCTTGTTCAATGCTAGTAAATACAGATATCTAAAGGTATTCAATGTTTTACTGGATATCGGAGATTTCTAAATATAGAGACATGCACAATGCACCATGCACACTGCACAGTGCATCCCTTCTTGTGTCCTTGGCAAATTCAAAAGGAAACATGTCAGTGGCCCAAAGTTTTCAGCCTGCCCCTGCCTCACTCAAACTCAACATATGCAAAGAGTGGAAGGAATGCTTTTTAGCGATGTCGCTGCTACCCATCGTCTTCCAACGCCAAACGTTCGTTTATTTACGTTTATAAGACGCCTTTATTGAATATGTTCTTGGCTGTATGCATTGAGGGAAAGATCATCAGGCGATGAAACGGAGATGTGTAGCTCTCACGGTTTACCCACAGCTCAAGATCGTTAAAGATCAACCACCCTGTTGACATTTATTGGTAAGCGAACTTCCCCTAAATAACTTTGGCAGGCGAACTTGAACAGTTTTTAAATGCATTTCCAGGGCGACCACAGGTCACAGCGATATCACAATGTGCCCACAATTCCAAGCGAGGCATCACCCAAGTTAGTAAAGGGACAAAACACCGGCGATGGCGCTCTGGAAACCAGCGTTGTAGTCGCACGCCACCTCGTTCTTGATGTAGTCGTCGCGGTTGTCCTCGTACGCGTCGTACTGGTCGGGCCCACCCACCAGAGCTCCGTACAGCACGTGCGGGTTGGGCTCCGAGGTGTGCAGCTGGTCCCAGCCGCAGGGCGCCGGCGCGTCCGGACACGAAGCCCCGGCGTGGTGCGCGCGCACCGGAGGGTTGTTGCCAAATCCGACCACGTAGCTGCGCCCGCCGTCGCCCAGAATATAGTTGAGCTGCTGGATGGCGAAGTCGTTATAGGCATCAGAGTTGAGACCGTTCTTGGCGGCACCCAGACAGATGAAGGCCACGTTGCCCACGTGCCGGAGGGAGCCCCACATATTGAGGTAGACCATGCCCTTGGGAGAACGCGGCGCTTCGTTTTTGACCCAGTCACAGAACTGGGTGACCATGGATCCATACGAGGAGTCACCCGTGAGCTGATACATGAGAAGCTGAACACCCGCGTGCTTGCTGTCCCAAGAGAACTCGCTGGGACGTCCGTTCAGATCGGAGAACTCCTGGAAGAAGCCCTTGGCCTTGTCCAGATAAGTCTGGTCGTTAGTAGCGCGGTAGATCCAGGCCGCCGCCCACGCGAGCTCGTCACCGTAGCCACTGGAGCTGGAAAATAGAGAGATTACGGAGTTTTAGAGCCATGCTATAGCGAAAAGCAGTAAGCTGTTGTAACAAAAAGTGAGGACCTTTCACCCGAAGATCTCATGGTTGGCAGTGAATTCCCTACTCTTGACAACAGGTTTGGGTTGGTAGTTGGTACAGAGCTACAAGTGCTTTCTATTTGTCATCCTGCCCACCAATGGAACTGGGAAAAATTCAGCAGTGGCCGGGGGCGTGTCAACATCAGGTTCACGGCCACTAGTCATGAGAGAGACGCATGATAAGATTTGAAGTGAGGCCCAGGAGTGTGAGAATTGAGCACCTGCCTCATATGATAAGCCGAATGTATGTGGCATTTACGTTCCTTATATATTTAAGACCTTTGTAACGCTTTGTCTCGGATGTTAGGTATAAAGTAATGCACTGTAGCAGTTAAAATTGAGGCATGGCGCTCTAAAAGGAATGGATGAGACTTACGGCCTTATAAAACCACCTGCTGTTATAGAAACCTGCTGAAGAAGCATATTTTACAGCCGTTTGTTGATTTTGTGCCGATTTCACTAACCCGTAGAAGTTGCTGGCGTCCCAGATAGAATCCTGGTACTTGCCACGATGTCCGTCAGCGAACTCAAACAGCTGCTTAGCGTGCTGTATACAAGTGTCAGAGTAGCCGGGATCAGAGTCCTTGAAGAGGACGGCGGCAGCGGCGAGAGCGGCAGCCGTCTCTCCGGCCAGGTCAGAGCCCGGTCCGCCAGCCGTGATCTTGTAGCCGGGACGGTCCATGTTCATGTCCTCAGCGCGGCCCCAGAAGGCGTGATCGGCATCTCCGTTGCCACACTGCGAAGTACAACACAGTATGCGGGACAATCAGTTTGAGACCCTTAATCCTCACACTCAAAGGAATCTGCCTCAGATGAAGAAAGAGTCGCACAGCTCCCGGAAAAACTTAAACGAACATTTGCCCAGATTTCTGAAACGTCAGCCCTCAACAACGTCCCCTCACCTGACCATAGAAGTCTGTGTCACCGACATGCGCCTTGATGAAGAAGTCGGTTCCCCACTTGACGGCCTGTTTGACGTAGTTGCTCTGTCCGGCACCGGCGTAGCCGCTGGCGAAGTCGATGGCGCCCCAGGCCATCACCGTCATGGAGGCCGCCATCGGGAATCCGAACTTGACGTGGTCGCCGGCGTCGTAGTAGCCGCCGGTCAGGTCCTCGCCGTTCTCTCCGCGGTCGTTCATCGCCGAGTCGCCGCGCCACGGGATCCTGTTGTCAGGAGGCAGAGGGCCAGAGCGCTGGGCCTCGTAGAAGAGGAGGGACTTCTCGAGCACCTCCTGGTAGTCGTAAGGTAGTGGTGGAGGAGGCTTGGTGGGTCCTTCGGTGGGTCCCCCGGTCGGCTGGGGCTGGGTCGGGCCCGTCGGCGGCGGCAGCGTGGTGCCTCCACCTCCGCACTGCTCGACGCCGTTCAGCGTCACGCTGGTGACCTCAGCCTTGCTGGAGAAGTAGGCGTTGAAGGCGATTGAAAGCTCGGCTCCAGCCGGTTGGTTCCCATCGAATGGCGCGTTGTCCAAGGTATAGAGAACGTTGTCCGTAGTTGAGGCAATGGCTTCCCAGGTCTCGAAGTCAGAAAGTGCATGGTCGAAGGTCATCTTCACTTGCCAACTAGTGACAGCGCTCGGGAACTTGATGTTGAGGTTGGCCGACATGCCCTCGTTCCAGACGGTGTGTTCGTCGATGATGCCCTTTTGGGCGCACGCTCCCGTCGCACTGACAACATCTGGCGCGAAAACAGCTGCCAGTAGCGGCAGGAGCAGCCCAGCGACCGCCATTTTGGAACTGACGGCAAAGTAAAATGATTATGAAGCTGCCACCGCCGCATAATCCATAAGTTGTGTCATAAACTTATGCGTAAATATATTTTTCCAGACATCTAGCGCTTGTATTTTCCCGTTGTGCAAATTTAGCCGTTTTAGTAGATAAGGGCTGTTTTTTTAAAGCGTTCCAAAAACTCCATTGAAGCCCATAGCCTACCTTTTTAACTTTTGAGGCTAACATAACTGTGAATCCTCGGGCGATTAGTAGGTGATTGAGTTGACTTAGGTATGTTGGAAAACAATCCCACAGTGATGGCAATAAATGCACAACCCAACTATTTTATGCTTTGAAACAGTCTAAAGACGTCTTAGATGCTGTCCGTCTATGTAAAAGATGCATATTATTTTAATTGAAACAATGTAGACAGAAACAAAATACATACCAAGCTCCAAAAGGTCCCTTGAAATTAATGGTACACCTTCGCTTACCTGATAGTGTAGGGGCCCCGCGATGAGTCCGTCCCCACGGAGTCCTGAGGCGTCAAACAGTCGAGCCCTCTTTATACGCGGCAGGACGCCCGGCGCATCTGGGCAGCTCCCATGGCTCGTGGGAGCCGGTCACCGAACGAGAGTGTGCCATCGTATAGTTGCACTCCAGTAAGGTCGTGCGCCCGAAGTCCTCCGCTGCTGAATCGTGGAAGCTATTTAAGGAGATGGAAGCTTTCTTCCGCCGGAGCTTGCATACATATAATAAGTAACTCGACATTCATATTTGATGATGTAAAGGACGACAGACAGTGAAAGAACTGTGAGAGAAATGAGAGCGGTGAAACAGGACGACATAGCTTCACCGATCCCAGATTCTCTTCTCCAGCGCGAACCGAGAAGCGCCAGGGGTGTTGGATGGGCTTCATTACACAACACTAGACAGGGGCGTTGTCGATCCTCTTCGCCAATCAGACGTTCTCGAGATGGGGGCTCGCGCACGCCAGGTGTCATCAAGAGCTGACCTTCAGGAGGTGGCGCCGGGCTGGGTCACGTGCCGGGGGAGTGTCGCACGAAAACACGATAAACGTGTGTACCTACACACGCTGCCTTCCGGGAACACTGCGGCGAGATGTGAGCCGCGTTCATCGACAGCGTAGGAACTTAACAACACTTGATTCGTGGCGAACTTTACATTCCCGGCTAAGAATCGATATTTCGCATCTAAGCGTAAAACTAAAAAAATGGATTGGTTAGAAGAGGCTTTAACTTTAGCAGTTTCCGAAATATTACTTTTTCAGCTCGGTGTATAAGGCTGCCGTATCATTTGAAAATCGTTCGTTGCTAAAATTGTCTAATTTGGACATGTCACTCTCATATTCATTACGGCAGTAGTCAAAAGGCATCAGCAGTTGCAAGTCATTGCGGTCCGTTTCCAGAGCGAACCGGTTCGGGCATCTCATAGGAAGTCGGATTCCTACGTACCTATAGCGGGAAAAAGCGGCGGTGGTGTGACAGCTCCGACGGAGATGACCTTTGCTGAATATAGATCAACAACGATGATGTATGACAACTGTATATCTTCTCAATTTACCTGTTTGTCTTTTCCTACATGCCGGGGTATGTCTTAAGCACAGCACGAGCCGGGCAGTAAAACTATGACCAAGAAACTGTCGGTGTCAAAATGCCATGTTATTTGATAGGGCCGGGCAGGAAACAAAAGTTTACTGCCCGGGTTTACTGCCCAGGGCAATGACCTCTAAACTACAGTTTATCGCATTAGCCCAGAGGTATAATTGATAGGAAATGTATAATTGATATCATTATTGCATGATATTTGCCGCGTAAGATTAGAAAACCAACATTTTTTTGTAAAAAATATCTGCTCTGCTTATCAAGGGGTTTGAAATACTTTGTATTGGTTACAAAGCCGAAATTATGGCAAGATATGCTTCTATTAATCGAAATCCGTTATCGCTTGTTTCTTATCTTCATTTGATATGTCCACTGATACCTTGGGCGTAAGTTATTGCGTTATTATTTGACGGTTGTAGTCCTTTCCTCAAAACAAACATGTAAAATATGGAAAATATAATGTATTTCACGAAAGTTTAGCCATAGGTCATCAACAAAGTACGATCACATAAATAAAGAAAAGATTCTTGCAAGAGCACTGGAAAATTCACGTTTAATCACTAGGAATATTATACCTTCTACCTTCTTCTTGTTCTTATGTCGTGGCAAATTATTCATGCATGATGTTCCTTGGATATCCAATTGTTGTGCCATTCTGAGTTGATATTTTCAGACGCGATTCTTTTTGAAGTGAGGTATTTTGATGCATTTTCTTCTATAAATTTCCTTTCAAGCTTTATCCACAGCAGTAGCGCAATCACCATGTTCGGAAATTATGGACAAAACAATTGTATAAAAATGTCACCAAAACGACCAAAACCTGTCGAAACTACTTAGCAGGTATGCGGCATGTAGGAAAAATCTTACTGACCTCAGCCGTACGAAATTATTTGGAAACTCGGCTTGCAAAATTAGACTCCGGCCCTCGTGCTCCGCACTCGGGCCTCCGTCAATTTTGCAAACCTCGTTTCCAAATAATTTCGTCGGCCCGGTCAGTAATATATAGTCATGCCTTTGGCGGTTATGGCTTTAGGTGTTACCGACATATATGCTATAAGAGGCATCCACAGGCGCGTCGATGAAATTTTCATGGCAAAGGTAGGCAGAGGCTATGTTTTTATGATATTTTGTTTGAATCTCCAATTTGAAATACTTATCTCCAATCTCGGACATTCGGATATTTCCTTTTTATATCAATAAGAAACCACTCAAGCCGGGAATTCACTAAATAATTCCTACTCATTTTTTTAGACAGACATTACCTATATTTATTCTGTAAGTCTTTATTTGTGCCCGTCTGTTGCCTTCGCTTCCCTTCCAACACGACATAGCTAACGGTATTACCTATAACAACACGGATTGCTCAACCTTGATATACCACATCCGGGTGGCGAGCGCATCAGTGCACCCTTTGACACCTGTACCACCCGCAGTCCAAGCTCGCGCTCACCGAAACTACCGGCGTAAACACATCACTTAGCGCCGGCGTCGGATGAACCCAAGCGCGCTAGGTGTTCCTCCACGACGCGTAGTTCATTCGCCGGATCATTCGTTCTGCCACGCCCCCCCCCCCCCTGCTCTGGTTTCAAGGCTACATCACGCCTCACGCTCCAGCACGAGGAGTCTTGGTCGTGACAATGGTCGCCCCTCCCTCCCCATGGGACGGGCAGTTCGGCTTCATAGACCCGAGCGTCTGGAAATCCCCGTGGCGGTGTAGCGTTCGTCCCTTCCTGAGCGTGCTCTATTGCAGTCACGACTTGGGCGCGGGTGGATGGGGAAGAGTAGGGGATGAGAGAGAGAGAGAGAGAGAGAGAGAGAGAGAGAGAGAGAGAGAGAGAGAGAGAGAGAGAGAGAGAGAGAGAGAGAGAGAGGAGAGAGAGGAGGGAGTAGGCTGATCTGGGCGTGGGTGAATGAGAAGGAAAGAGGGAGAGAGGAGGAGTGGGAGCAGCGGGGCGCCGGGAGGTACTTTTCATCGAACACTGCACCGGTTACAGCGAAATCGACGCAGTAAAACCGCTGCGTCTGCCGTGGAGGCGCTGGTCTCAGGTCTGGAACTCGATAAGTGACATCATAACAGTCGATAGGTATAACAGATGACTGGGAGCTGGACTGATCCTGCGTTGCTCGTCTGGTTGATCTCAAACATTTCGATAGACATTTCGCGATAGAAAATGTGATGCGAAATAACTGAACCATGGTTGTTTGTTACATAGTGCATTGATGAATACCAGGACCAAACAATGCTGCATAAAATCACCCATTGACTTTTACACTTGAAACGAACTGTTCCCTCCGGCTCGTTCATTATGCCCATCAATGCTGTTAACCCTATTAGTGGCAGGCTCCTGGCTACCCCTATTAGTGGCAGGGGGGGGGGGCTGTTTACGACCCCCCCCCCTTGATATCTCGAGATCTAACGGGCCGATTTTCAAAATTCAAACGGCATTCGATTTCGCTCAACGAGATCTACATTTCTAAAAAAAAAAATGTCATTAGGGGGGGGGGTAGAGGGGGGTAAAAACGGGCAAATTGCAGATACATTTTAGACTGTTTCTCACGGCCAGGTTTCTGAACCAATCTTAACGCAACTTTTGCCGATCGATAGAGAATGAACCAGGAATTCACATGGATCCTGAAAATATGCATTTTCAAAAATCATAGGCGGATACAGATCATTGAGATTGGGGGTACACAAAAAGTATAGTAAATAAGGTTTTTGTTGGTACTGTTTCTAAAAAGGGTGGCAATGGTCTTGTTATGTTACAATTTTCTTATGAGAGAGCGACTAAAATTGTATTGGTCATGCATAGGCGGTGTCAGGGCACCTATGTTGGGAGGTAAAAAATAACCCCCCTTTTTGGACGCCTGGATCCGCCTATTAGGTATAGCAAAAACGTGTCAAAAGAGGATGCACAATAACTTTGTATATGTTATCACATGATACCTTTCATTCACTGTTCGTAAAACTGGTGCAGCATCGTGATCTTCGCCCAAATGACTCGCTTCACGAATAGGACCCCCCAATTCCCAGTGCTCTGGAGCCGCCCCTGGTAAAGTTATGAACTTGAAATTTTCAGGGAATGTGCCCAATTTAGTTTTAGGAAAAGTCAGAAAATTTCAGCATCGTAGCTTCTGCGGTTTCGGAGATATTCCCGAAAAACCTGAGGGGTGGATAAAAACAACCCCCCCCCCCCTGCCACTAATAGGGTTAAGCGTTAACAATTCGATAATTTCAATAACTGCTCGCTATGACCAAGCGAATTCATGAATTAGAGAATTCAGAGCTGTGGAATGAGTCATGACGAAGTTAAGGATGGACGATGTAAGTACAGTTGTGGACACGACTCCTGCTACCAGTACCGTTTGTGTGTGATTCGAGGTGTGTCCGATGTCCATGAGCTGTCACGATTTCGCGTCACGCGGGCTGAGGGCGTCACATCCGGCGGCCCGCGGAACTGCGTCACGACGGACGGAAGCGCCAGTGCCGTCGTAAAAAAAAAAAAAAATGGTGAGCGTCGTAGAGGAGCGGCCAGCCGACAGATCGGTTTGCCGTCCGGTCGGAGTGGTTTGAGCAGTACCGAAGAACGGCCAACGGTCTCAAGGGGTGCTGCTGCAGAGCCCTCCTCGATTCAGGATGCTGATAGAAGTCTGACATGCTGTTTTGAAAAGTCCTCGCTGCTGCTGTCTTAGGAAGAATTTTGGTCCTAACAATTTGTGGGTTTGAGTAAGCATCCCGGGTAGCGGAAACTTCGACCAAGAAAGAAGTTAGGCCAGGTAACCTGGTAAAGGTCAAGGGTCAGCTCCGCTCTAAGCACTGAGCAGCATTCCTCTCTCTCTTTGCGAATGGACACGGAAGCACACCAAGCCCTCTTGAATCCTGAAATGCTGCAGGTCCCATGAGGAGAAGCCACCCCGGCCCTCACGAGGCCCCTGGTGCGTGACAATGCGGTGCGATATGCCAATCTAAGTGGCTGACATTTAGTGCACCAATTCATCTTAGGGGTGTGACCGCTGACGTGGCTGTTGTGGCCAGTAAATATGCTGTCATCAATTCTGTATCGTCGTTAGTCTGTATGACATCATTGTGTACTGCATCGATGCAATTGTTTCAAATTCCAATTAGTTATCTCTCGTGTCTGTATTTCTATCCCTATACCTAATGAGCATTTGTTTTTGCTTTGCAACCATTACTACATCTAATAGGGCACTGGCAGAACACGTGGTCATTTGAGGTCAAACAGCGTGATTCGTATATTGGCTTTGTGCGCAATAAATACGTACAGCAGATGTTCATCAATATCTTAGGGAGATGGAAGTCATTCGATCTCGTTAGCGCGCAGTTTTTTTCATAAACCACTGAGCCTCAACTTGGTGACCTGAACAAGTGATCCGTGGCCACAATTTTAAAATATGCGGAGCTTATGGGTGTCAGCTCAGGTGATACGGCACCAAAATCGGCGTCACAAGAGCCATCCTGTGCCAAAAAAAGCGAATAAAAGGGGATATTTTAGCAACGTCACATCTTAAGTTTTCTATCGAGAACGGTGATATGATCATATTAAAAATGTAGCAACGACATTTTTATTTTTCATTTTCCGGCTACCATTGGAGTTGGGACCTCCACCGCACGGGTCGTCGTTCCACAGCCCCGGTGCCTGGACGGCCGTTCCACAGCCCCGGCCTGTCGCCGGCGCCCTCTGCACTCCTACATAAGTGAGCCGGATCCCCACAGCCGGCTCAGTGTTTGGTCTGGACCCGTGTTAGAGGGAGAGGTGCGGATTAGTAAGAGAGGAGAGAGAGAGAAGGGAAGATCAAATCAGAGGAGTGGGAAGCATAGGTGAGTGACCGAGGGCGAGGGTAACTGTTCTTGTCGAAAGTGAAAGGTAATGACGTTGAGTGCAGTGAACGTCACTGGGGCGTAGTGTCATGGTGTGCGAAGTTCTGACGGGTATGGCGTAAGGTTTGGAGATTGGGTCGCTGAATGTTTATGAGGGTGACCTGTGCGGCTTCGTGAGCTTGGTCGGTGCACACAGCATCAAACAAGAAAAAGTGTCTGGGCGGGGACTTAAGTGATGTTGCACGATGGGCTGGTATTTTCAATACGGCATATTTTCAATAGGGTAATCGCAAACAAGAGTACCTACTAATCGGGAATAACAGGCTTAACCTTATAACTCAAAATTACCATAGGCTTACCAACAACAGAGCTTTGTGCGCTGCAACGTCTCGTGGTCACCTTGGCAAGGGCAAGATCATTTAGGAGTAGGACTGAAAGTTTGCGGCTCTTGGATAAGCACTAAGCAGCTTATTGGACCTACTATGTGATTATCTCCACATCAATATGGACACCGTAGTTTTGCATCAAGTGCAGACCATTTTTTTTATCATCCCTGCTGTTATCCACTTTCCATTGCTCCTTTTCTTGACTACTTTAACGTTAATTGGGACGCTTTTGTGTACCCACAAGGCGTCAAAAAGGTTTATTAGTCGTAGTGCCATTCTGTGAATTGCAGTACCGATCTAACCATAATAAAGCCGACATTGAAACCTAAATATTTTCCTTATCGTTCTGTCAGCCACGGGACATTCCGTGATGACCATCTCTTCACAACATCTTGCGTAGTATTGATGACGTAAATTCGCCCTACATGAAGGTTATTTCCAGAGGTGTTCACTTGAAACAGCCATGTTTCACTCACGTGTAGGCATTGTATTGGTCGTGAGGCATGCACAATGGCATTTCCCGCTTTTTTGTTCCTACCACAATTCAGTCGATGTCGTGACTTCGGAAGACATGACGTCTCATTTCACGCTGTTTCCGTCCATTTAACGCCATAAACGATGTATTTTTATTCACTTGTGTCAGAGCGCTGTTTGGAATGTAAGACGCCAGCAGTGCAACAGTGCTGTAGAGTTATAGTGTCTACAGGAATCACGAAGTGTTCGGATAGGCCGGTCACCATGGTTTCTGACATTCAGGCCAAGGATAGTCGTGGTCTGGCGACCAGCTTCTGCCGTACCCATTTACGTATAGTTTGCAAGCGTTTCGGTGAACGCTTGCAAGTGAACGCTTTTCGGCATCTTCTAAGAAGTGTCAGTGTCTCAAAAGTGCAATTGATGTAACACTCTCTTCTAATGTTTACGGACCTGTTTGCGATGTTGCCTAGAAAAAAATTGTGGTGAAATTTAAATACAGGCTTAACTCTAAAGAAAAACAATACCACCAGAATCTGGCAATAGATGATACGCTTTATTTGCCAGATTTTTGCATAGGGGTGTTTAATTGTACTCCCAAAATATTATGTAAAGGCATCGTTGAGCACATGAAATGCCGTTTTGACATTGCAATACGCCGGGAGGTATGCCTATAAAGGGAAAATCTGGCTTCTCTTCTATCACGATTTAAGCTACCAATAGCGGATGTGGATGCTTGTTTCAGCTATTGACAAAAGACACGCTCATTCCCTTATACGGAAGACAGGAAAGCGTCATTTCTGTCAACCAAACAGCTTGACCTTGTTAAATCGGTAGGTCAGTGAACAAACTGATGGTTAACTCCTTATACGACTTGTGTCGTGCGTTACGTCCATTGTCCACTTCAGGAAGAGCACAGGAAAAGCGCATGTCGCCGAATTTACCTCTGTCGTAAGATAACTGTTAAAAGAAACTCACGTTCAAGGACAAGACTGATTCGCGTAAATCGTGATGCATTTATTATATAACCACTGATAGATATCTACAGGGGATTTAGATTACTCTCACACCGGTACAGTTTATCCGCGGGGATTACAAGTGGTCCGGTCAACGTGACCGTTACGGCGCATCTCTTCAATTGAAACTAATCCCTATCCATAACTAATCCGGGTCGCTCATGACTGTCTCCCCACAGCATGCTGTCAAATAGGTGCAGTCAAACAGATAGTAATACAAATATCGGGATGGATGAATAACTAACATCAAATATGACAATGCATGCACTACATGTAGAATCTACATGCATTGTTTCGGTGCATAAAGTCGCAGCTTTACACAATAGTCACCATTATGAGCATATTACATTGTAACTGCTGCTACCTCGAGGTGCTTCTGAGGGAACTCGCCTAATCATCAGCTACGTCTAAGCCACATATCAGACATCCAAGTCGGCATTGGTAGTGAGACATGACACTGAGCTTTTCGTCACATGGCCCTGGGCAGTCAGGCGGTGGTAAGACTGCGAGCTGAGGGAGCGCAAGATAAGAGAGGGTAGTACAGCGGATCGGGTCTACATTTCCTGTGGAACGTTCAGATTTTGAAGATGTGATATGCTTTGACGGAGGCGGATTGGGTAAGTATTTCCATGTACCCTGGATGGGGAGGGGTCAAATCGCAGCTTCGTATATACACGGCCCCGGGCCATCTATTGATTCTCGCGTTTTCCGTAGTGATGGGAGCTGCATTACGTATTGTCCCACCACACAAACCGCAGCGGATCGGTCGAAAAGCCTAGATCCGGTCTGGCCGGCTGATGGGCCGTGCTGTTTGTTCCGGCCGTTCGCACTGAGTCCCGAGTTTGCGTCGTCACGTTCATTTGAGCATTGTTCTCCGCCCAATACCACTGTTCTCCCGTCGGCAGTGCCGTTTCCAACACAGCACACCTGTCATAGCGCCATGCGTCGGTAAAAGCCCAGAGGACGGGCTTTCCAGAGAAACTCCAAAAGTGCCGGCGTCCACCAGCGCACACCATCCCATAGGATTTTCGCCTCTGAGGCAAAAAGCAGGCGACTTGTGGTCAGCCTGGCGTGTTCAGAAGGCTACCTAGCCGCGTGATCTGCCCTCTCGTGCTGTCCGGGCGTCCAGGTTTGCCACAAAAACCGGTTTAGTGGGGTGATAGTCTTGAATGGAACGCCCACAGAGAGCTCCTCCCATTTTGGCCTTCACTTTGGCCCATCAGCTTAGAAGAACGATAGATAACGGCCATTCCACTAGCGCACAGCTATGTCAAAAATTGGAAAAAAATAACGCGAGGAAAACCACGGGAACGTTGCGTGAAGCTCATCGTCACGAATTCTGCGTCCGGCTTTCGTTGTCGACAGCGTGCCTTTTGATCAAGGTTAGCACGCTGTGGAAAGCCCAATCTCAGAGACAGGCGCGTCCATCGGATCCAACAGCAGGGATTAGAGTTTGTCCGACGCAGTGAAACGATCATAGTGTACGTCATAATACACTAATTCCTAAGAATTTCTTTAGTTTGGAGAAGGTCTTACTTGTTCTCGTATCGTTGAGATGTATTTAGGGGCTGTAAATAAAGTCCTAACGACCGAAATGAAGAATACAAACACAACAGAAACAGAAAGCTCAAGATCGTTTTAAAGCTATGTTGGGTTGGTCCGTGGTCGTAAGTGACGTAAATTTCAACTTTTGTTGAAGAGAGAGAGAGAGAGAGAGAGAGAGAGAGAGAGAGAGAGAGAGAGAGAGAGAGAGAGAGAGAGAGAGAGAGAGAGAGAGAGAGAGAGAGAGAGAGAGAGAGAGAGAGAGAGAGAGAGGAGATGATGCGGTGTTGTTTCCCACCATTCTCCGATTTAACGATCCACCGCTCCCACTCCCAGCACAATGAGTTGCCGATTAGTTGCCTGTCGTTACGAATACGAGCCACTCATTCACCACGGTCGCTGACCCGATGTTCTCTGTTCACAGCCATGGGCTCCATTCTGCACCTGACTCTCCTGCTGGCGACGGTCGGCCTCGGCTCCTGCGCCACCTTCCAATCGTCCTCAGCCTCGGCAGGCGGTCCGGGCGGCGGAGGTACCGCCTTCACGACCAGCACGCGCTTCAACAACCGCCCAGCAAGCACCACCTCCTTCACCACCGGCACGGGACAGACGTTCAACAGCGGAGGCAGCTTCAACAGCGGCGTCGGCAACCGCGGCTCCTTCCGGCCGTTCCAGGTGCCGCGGGTGCCGTCTTTCAACTTCAACTTCAGGCCCATCGCGTTCCCTCGGGTGCCGCAGTTTAGACCACAGACGCAATTCTTCGGTAACAACGGCGTCGGCTCGAGGTTTGGAGGAAACAGGTTCGGAAGCGGCACGTCTGGTTTCAGCACTGCGGGCAGCAACGGGTTCAACAGCATCGACGCCAACGGCTTCTTTAACAGGCTCAGCAATCAGATCAATCGCTCGTTCGCCGCTAATCTCAATGGTTAGAGATTAAGTGCAGGTGGAGTGAGTGAAGAGTGGGAAAGGCTGTCACGTTGTGTGCAACACGGAATTGAATGACAACATGTTGCAATGATGGGCTTAGAGGGAAAGAACGATGGATTGCACAGTTGATTAAGTTGCGATGTTACTGACTGTATAGAGCCGGTTGTGGAAATGTGCAGTTAGATTTGCATAGCGCACATCCAAGGCCAACAGTAAAACGTTCGCATGATGCGCGGCGTTTCTGAACAAATTTGATGCGAGCGATATCCGACAACGGTGTTCGAAATCGACGTCAATGATGAGCGATAACTCAACGTATAGCGTATGACGTTATCAACAAAAATGGCCGTACTCGGAGAAGTTTACGGTCGTGCGAAGAAAAAGTGATAAAACTAGTGATTAGTGGTTGTTGGTATGTAACTACGCCGTACATTTAACAACGCGGGTGTCTGGAAACGTGATGAGATTATTACGGATAGAAGTGCGCATGTCAGCAAGTATGCTGCACGCATGCCTGGAATGTATCATCATTTCACCTTGCAGTCTTCCATATCTATCATGTCAACGCCGTTGTGCCTTTTCTCAGGAATCTGAGAACTGTTTGCGTGTTCCAGAAATCAGTTCAGCTTTCAGATTCAAAATATGGTCAAGGAGCCTGGTTGTTAATAGGTTGAAATGCCGTCGTTATAGCCGTCTTTTTCACACCGGCTTCAGAACTAATATCAAAACGTATTGCATCCCACTTTGTTTCAGCTTTTTTGCTGATTATTTGATCGTGCCTTTCCTGATTTGTTTTTTATGATTTCTGACTTGTTAAATACATGAGTTGGCTGTTTTTCCTGAGTTTATAAAGCATGAACGAAGCAGATGCAATCATGGTTTGAGGGATAAGGTATGATGAAGCCCAGGTTCAATCGACATACTACCTCATTCGCGAATTTTCATTAGACATGCTGTGCAGAACCAAAGCCGTATAAGAATTGCAGACTGAGAGAAGTGATAGCCACAAATGCAAAGGTTGATCACCTCACCTCTCCTGCCGTATACCCAAACCGCACTTTGTACTGCGCTGTCACTAAACCGCAGGCCCGGTGCTCACTCGGTGTTTAAAAAACCGTGACCTCTTTTCTCCAAAGACCAGTCGTCTCATATGGATGTTGAGTAATGCAGAATGACTGCTTTAACCACGGTGAAAAAAATTAATCTGAGTAGTGTGTGGCTTTGGAACCCAATCATCCGCGCTCTGGTGAAGAGCCTCCGGTTTAAGTGAAACTTTCTAAGCGAAAACTTCAATAGCTGGCGGCTGGTCAGAGTGCACGGCTGATGCAAAAAAAAAAAAACTGCACATATGTTCGGTTGGGCTGTCAGTGTCAGCACGAAGCTCTTACCAGGATGCCCCGTCAGCTTAACCCACGCCGGCACAGGCCATTTTGCGTCCTTCGACGGCACAAGTGTGGGGGATGCGACCCCCCTCGCGTTTGGACCCTGATCGAGCTAGAGCTTCGCGGAGAAAAGAACGAGCGTGTTGCCCGAGCCGAGAGGAAGCCGATGATACTCAATTTTAAGGTCCTAGGCCATCGGTTGACCTTCCAGGTCAGGTCAATACTCAATGACCCAAAATTCGGGAGAATCGGGACCTGTTGGAATGTCGCGTGAATTGTGGCTTCTATGGGGGTTTCGGGCGGGTGCTGATCACGAATATCATGTTAGTTTTGATCACCGATGATGTCTTCATGAATTTAGGCGAGCTCGGGTCAGGTCAGGAAATAAAAGGTCAACCAGTAGGGGTCCTGTCGGGTATTCGTAGCAGGTGTCAACCGTCTCTGACAGCTTCGTAACATGCTACGAAGGCACCAAAACTACTTCGTAAATGTTCATATGGTTGCTGAATTCGAATTCAGCTAAAAAAAAACTAGCCTAGAAACGTATAAAACACTAAAAAGTGAACTGAGGTCATTAACCCGCGCCCGGCTGGGGGTCCTGGATTTCCACGCCCTGCTGGGGGGGGGGGGGTGTTTGAACACCCCCCCCCTTCTAACTCGGCTCCTGGACCACGTAGCGATACGCGGAAGGCGGCGTTCGAAAGAGCGTCAAAAATAATGAGGAAATCACTTCGGTCAATTTTTTGGTCAGGTCAAAGGTCAGGTCACCAGAGGTCATTGAAGGCAAAATTTCGCCGATTTCCAGGTCGAATGTCGAAAATTTCCAAGAAGCCAACGCATAACTCGGGAACCAATAGAGCTACAGCGCCGCGGAAAAGCGCATTCGATAGCCCTATTAACGCCCTTTCTGAGTAATACTCTCAGATTTGACCTAGCGTCAACGGTTTTGCCTGCAGGGGGCAAAAACTGCAAAAATAGACGATTTTTTCGGAAACAGTTTTTCTGCAATAACTTTTGACCCAAGCATTGTACGAGCTTACTTTTACCGGCATCGTGTTCCTCTCGTCAAGACGCATCGAATGAACTATAACTTGACCTTGAAAGGTCAACTTGAAAATTTGACCTCAGGTCAAGGTCATGACCTGACCGGAAAAGGTCATGTTGCATATCAGTCGATCCGTATTGTCGAGCTGAACACATCTAAGGCGTTTTCATCGCTCTAGCATGCCTCTATCAAAAGTTATTTGCGAAAAACTGTTAGATACCATTCGTGACCTAAGATGACCTCAGGGCATAAACAGGGGTCACGGACACCGTTTTCATGTTCAGTGTGTCTAAACCACTTGTAATTCAGTGTTTGGGAGTGTTTATAATGTCTTTCGTCCAAAGGAGGCGCATTTCAATTTTCTCCCATTGACTTATAATGGGGAGGTCGCAAAATTGACCTGACCTTAGGTCATCGATATCAAAATTCTGAGATATACATTTTGTACATGCTATTGCTCTTAGCAATCGCTGAAAGTTTCAAAGCGATCGGTCACTCGGTGTAGCTATGACAGACATTGAAACTTTTTATGAGGTGATGTCACTTCAAGTGACCTGGTGACCTGACCTTGAATGACCTTGGTCTGAAATTTTCACAAAATGTGTAGAATTGATGTATGATAAGGTGTACCAAAAACGGCGGCGCTCCGCGCCGCCGTTTTTGAGATATTCGCGAAAAACCACAAGGGGGGGGGGTGTTCAAACACCCCCCCCCCAGCAGGGCGCGGGTTAACATGACCTTCAGGTGACCTTGACACCCAGCCTTATTCATAGCACCAGCATCATATCACATGTTTGAAAGCTTGAAACCACGAAAAGACCGCAAATGCGCGGCTAATGCGAGCCGACATGCGTTGAATCGCGACTCTGGCCCAAACATGGTCTCGAGAAATACATACTTACGTGCAGTTGTGGTAGCCGTTGTGGTTCCAGTGCCTGCGCCCATGCTGTTAGTTGCTAAAATACATGCATGGTAGAAATCAACGCTGTTACAATATATCACCCACGATCTAAAATCTATTTATCTGCGCCTGTCGTGTTTGCGCGACATCTGGTGGCACTATGCGACCTGTAGTTCTCCCCGGCGCACCTAGGTGGCACGGCCTGTTCCGTGTTGAGGTACGACCTGGCGCTGGCGGAGGTGGGAGGTGACGGGGAGCATTCATTCTGGCCAGGGTTCATAATGTCCAGGGTACGCTATGCCCAGTGTCAAAATGGCCAGTGCCTTGAATGGGCCAGAGTTCATAATGTCCAGGGATTGCATGGTCCAAATGTGGCCAACTGGCTGCAGATAGGGTATATTCAAAGAGGCCAGAGTTCATAATGTCCAGGGCACGATGTGTCCAGTGTTCAAAATGGCCAGGGTTCATAATGTCCAGGGCACGATGTGTCCAGTATTCGAAATGGCCAGGGTTCATAATGTCCAGGGCACGATGTGTCCAGTGTTCAAAATGGCCAGTGCCTTGAATGGGCCAGAGTTCATAATGTCCAGGGATTACCTAGTCACTGAAAGTGACGTCATTATGTAAAAAACACGGAATCAGCTCAATGCAAAGCAGTGCAGTGCCGAAGGCAATGCCTTAGGAGAGATTACAGGCAATAGTAAATCAAATATTTTTAGGTTAAGTGGTTATGTATCTGGCTTCAGGCCGAAGGCCTGAAGCCTGATGCATAACCACTTAACCTAAAAATATTTGATTTACTATTGCTTGCAATCTATTCATGCGAGAAACTATTTCCTTATCCCTGGTAGGCAAACATCATTACCTTAGGTTAGGTTAGGTTAGGTTAGGTTAGGTTAGGTTAGGTTAGGTTAGGTTAGGTTAGGTTAGGTTAGGTTAGGTTAGGTTAGGTTAGGTTTGGTTGGGTTGGGTTGACTATGTAATCCCTGGACACTATGAACTCGGGCCCATTCAAGGCACTGGCCATTTTGAACACTGGACACATCGTGCCCTGGACATTATGAACCCTGGCCATTTCGAACACTGGACACATCGTGCCCTGGACATTATGAACCCTGGCCATTTTGAACACTAGACACATCGTGCCCTGGACATTATGAACCCTGGCCTCTTTGAATTTACCCTATCTGCAGCCAGTTGGCCACTTTTGGACCATGTAATCCCTGGACAATGTGAACACTGGCCAATTCAAGGCACTGGTCAATTCGAGCACTGGACACATTGTGCCCTGGACATTATGAACCCTGGCCTAAATAATACGCACCCGGAGGTGACTAGGGCGCAACTTCCCGCTAATATAATTTGCACGGTTCCATCGTGAAATGACCATTAGCGTTAAGGTTGCTAAGTGAGTCCGGGCGGAGCTACAGTTCGGTGTTTTGGCATTGGCTGGCCTCGACCCCTGGCCCCTTCCTGGGCTCTTCTGAAAGACGCCAAAGTTTAAGTCACAACTCACAGGTCGGTCAGGGTCATGAAATTTCTAGGGTTGGTGTAAAACAAATAACTCGAAAGTTCTGGAAGTTTCGTCGCGATCGGCTGCTTTTTACGCGAGTTATTTGCGAAAAACTGCGGGATGGGGTCCGTTCGACCCCCCCCCCCTCCCATGCGGGTGAGGGTTAAATTCTTTTGCAAATTTGGAGGCTAACGCCACCTTGTGAAAGATTGCAATTTATGTACACAAATTTAAGTTTGGTTTGATGATTATAAATAAATCAAATTTATACAGCCTTGTTTTTCAATACGCGCGAAATTGCCGTTACCTACTAATGAGGCATTACATAATTTTAGTTAATAGGAATTACGAAGTTCAACATTATTTTATCGATCGATAATTTATGTAGTTTATTGAATTTTTACCTCCCAAATGTGTTTCACATGACATACAAAAAAGGTTTCATAAATTATTTTTTGGGTCATATTCTCCCTTTATCAAACCAGCCAGTTAGAACTTAGATGGCGTTCGACGTTCGTAGACAAACCGAATGTCCGAATCGCCAAGTCACGCGCACGATATTCACCAGCCTCAATCGGAAATCGAAAAAAAAAACAGAATTCAGTATATCACCGAAGGCAAACCCACCGATTGTGCAATGTGCATGCATACTGTGGGAAAAGCCAGACAGCGTTGCGTTTTCAACACTTCTTCGCGTTACGGTTCAATGGATGATGTTTATTTAACAACCACAGTGCAGTTGAAACCTTTGCGGGTCTTGTCGGGCAAATCGGGGGTCTCATACACCACTTCCACGTGCTGTCCCACCGGCAGCGGGCTATCTTCCCCTGGCGGTGGGTTACCGTTGCAGTACTTTTTCCCGTTGACCTCCAAATAATCCCACTCACAAGATCCATCCCAGGACACCATATCAAAATCCCTACAGCTGAACTCCATAGAATAAGTGAGAAGGTTCGCGCTCAGATCCCAGCGGCAATACAGGCTCGTCCCGTAG